GCACACGCACACGCACACGCACAAGCGCACACACACAAACTCAAACACACACACACAATCAAAAACACAAACACACACAGACACACACACACACCCACGCACGCACGCACGCACACACGCACGCACGCACGCGCACACACACACAGACACACACACACACAGACACACAGACAGACAGACACACACCCACACGCGCACGCGCACTCGCACGCGCATGCGCGCGCACACGCACACGCACACGCACACGCACACACACACACACACACACCCACGCACACACCCACACCCACACACACACACACACATGACACACATGACACACATGCCACACATGACACACATGACACACGTCACACACGTGACACACGTGACACACGTGACACACGTGACACACATGACACACAGGAGAATGACACACATGACACGCACACATGACACACATGACACACACACATGACACACACACACATGAGACACACACACACACAGACACACACACAGACACGCCCACACACCCACACGCACGCGCACACGCGCCCGCAAACGCACACGCACACGCGCACGCGCACGCGCACGCAACATGCAGACACGCAAACACACACACACACACACACACACACACACACACACACACACACACACACACACACACACACACACACACACACACACACACACAACACAGGTACAAACGCAAACACAGACGCAGGCACACACACACACAACTCTCGCACACACACACACAGTGTTTGCGCTGGATTTACAGACGGTTTAACAAATACTCGTCGGCTGTCGAGCTTGCCTGGGGGGAAACAAGCGATGAACACGTCATTGATATACGTTCCTAAAGCCTTTGCATGCCAGCTCATACCGAATCCGTTGGGCTGCAAGCATACGTCATGTACCGGTGGTTTGACATCAGCACCAGGACCAAAGATTCAGTGACAAGAGTCGGTTGAACAAGCAACGTGTCTACCAGATTGGTCCCAAGTGCGCGTGTCGTTGTTCTCAGCTGGTGACAGCGGTGGTGCCATGGATGAAGACTCTGAACAAGCGCACTCTGTGTGGCGACAGGCAAGAATCTTCACTTGAAGACACAGTAGCGGCACATCCCGCTCAGAATGCCTACGGCGAGCAACACATAAGTTGAGGCAGGGAACACGGGTCTTCCGCAGTTCTGGGTAACTTCCTTGTTGCAACGCGCTCAGACAAGAGCTGCCGACGAGAGCACCTGAGAGCAGCTCAGGTATTTCGAGAACGTGTGCGAGTTGGACATCATGTCGACCTCCCCATATGCAGCTGCACGGGTGTGGCACAGACACTTTAATTGGTTGATGTCATAAAAGTCCACAATGTGGAAGAAATTATTTCTTGCACGCGACTCTGGAATAAGCTAATCTCCCCTCAAGTTTGACCTCGAGACCCTAAAACAAAGTGGCACACCGAAAGTGCATTTCTCCCCACATCGCTGGTGCATCGATTCTCCCTTGCTACAAGCAACGCCGCCGCCGCCACCGATCCTGGAACTCAGTGCGGCTGCGTGAAACATAGCGTTGACTGCAGAGAAATATCGCATGCACAGGGCGCAAAAGGTTTTTACCTTATCCGTAGTGCGCAGGTACATACCATGCAGTATACATGTTGTCCTGATTGAATAAGTTTAAGATCACTTTCTAGATAGTTCTTCTAATTAGGTTCTCTACATGTGGTTCACCAACACCTGCTTCGTCTAGGAACAGTTACAATGTAGAGTGAAGCTGTGGGCAGAGTAAGTTTACCAAAGGTCCTGTACATGCTTACTTTGTCTCGACCTTTTGCTTTCCCCTTAGCCAACTTTTAGTGGCCCCAAGAGGTGAGCCTTGCATTTGGGTCTTTGGGCAGCTGAACTTGTGAACAGGCTTTATCGGGTTGAGCCCCTTCATACCACCATTGCAGTCAACATGTGGTTCGGGGCTTGAAGTCTGGCTACACTTACCGAAAACCGAAACCCCTAGCCATCAAAGAAACAGTTCTGTTCGTGGAAGAGTCATACATGTTCAACTGAAATCACATGAGTCTACCATGACTTCTTCAGCCCAAGGGTTCTGGTTTTTACACTAGTCGACTGTCGCTAAATACGGCCCAGAACAAAGAAACGTCGTCGGTCGGCCAAAGACGTAGTTGAAATTTGAAATGCCCTTCGCCCTGAGCGTCGGCAAGCCATGGGGTTCTCCGGATAGCCCGCGCTGATGTGTCGGCCTGAGGCTTGAGGGCTCGGCCAGGGTTGTTCAACATGGTGAGTCCATGTGGGTCCCCTTTTGGTCGGTAGGGAATCCAAAATGGAACTAGCCTTGCAGGGGACCTCGGTCTTTAGAAAAAACACACATAAGCTATTTAGTAGAATCCTTGTCAGGGGTGATTCGCAACTTTTCAGTAGTCGAAACCCTCGTCAGGGGTGCTTTTTCTTTGTACTTGTTCTCGGTGACCCTTTTTCTATTGTTTGCTGGCCAGAGTGTTATTTGGCATCCCCAACTGCAGAAGCTAGGCTGCAGCTGCAGTTGCGAGAGCAGAAGTGGTACTGTTGATTTAGAGCCGTTTGCATCCATGCCCTCGCAGTATTCTTGCTGCAGTGCTGGCTTGATTTCTTTCTCTTATCAGAGAATATAGGAATAGTCTGACAGTATGAATTGCTTTCTTGTAGGTTTGTTTGGAAAGCTTCTTGCTCACTGGCCAAGCAAATACCAGTGCGAACAAAAAACAGCTTATGCAACCGTTCTGTGGGCGGTCTGAACCCATAAATCGCACCGCCACTGATGGATACGTAGTCATGAACGAATCACTGGCCAATGGTCATTACTTCGATGCTGTTGCGATTGTTTTGACACTTCGGCATGCTGCACGGCATATTGAGTTTGTCTCAAAATGAGGGACCTCCGCCCAAAAAAGCAAACAACATGGGATTCCCTTTACAGCTACCCAACAAGGGTAGCTGGCCAACGGGCTATCGAGTACACTCTGCGCGCCTCCACTCAGCTGCAGGGCGCCAGGCAGGGAGCTCAGGGGCTCGCCGGTCCGTCGAGTGCGTCGATGGCTGACGTTGAGCAACATAGGAATCGGAGGTTTTTTTTGCCTGGGACTAGCAGATAGGCTATGGGTTACAAGACTATGGCTCTAGGACCGAGATCCCAAATTCCCTGGGCCCTGAGAGGTAGGTCGATCTTGGGCTTCAAACAGGTGAACTAGTTGGCTCTGTGTTCATACTTGTTTGACCCAATCCACTCAGTCGATTCGGGACTGACGCATCAGTAACAGCTGCCGAGTCACTTTCAGTCAATGTGCTAGAATGCAGAGAACTGCTTGACCAAGCCAAATGGTCCATGGCCCGAAATGAGTTGCAGTCCACTAAAATTGGGCAGAACCAAAGATTAAGCTCAGGTGATATCCCCAACAGCACGCAGTGCTCTTTTTAGTGCTCGCACCACCCCGCAGCCCTCGCAGAACCTCGTGGAACCCTCGTGAAACCCTGGTGGAACCCTGGTGGAACCCTGGTGGAACCCTCGTGGAACCTTACCTCAGGGCCGCCCCGGACCACACCGGAGCCTATCTGGGCTGAGACCCCAAAGCTTTCAGCTGTTGGGGGAAAAACAAGGATACACCCAGGTAGCCCTGAGCAAACCCTAGCAACACCCCTTTGAAGCCATGGCTGATCGCAGCCCAAGGCAGCTCACAGCTCGCATCACACGCCTTGGCCGAGAAGGACGGGACGATGTGAGCGGGACCGCTGAGCTCGACGGCCTTAGATGGAGGGTCCCACATTATTTGTGTCAAAAAGGGCAGGGAACCAAATTTTCTGGTCTTCCTGTTGGTTTCCAAATTTAAATCTATGATGCGTTTGTTTTGGTCTCATATTTACATTGGATAGAGAAGACGGGACACGTGGGAAGGTGAACCGCCGTGCCAGTCGCTGGACAGGATTTCGCTGATGACATTACCCCAGTTTGCATACTGCTTTCTAGGTATCTTCCGATTGGTGCACTTAAACAAAGACGGAGGGTCCATACGTTCAATTTGACTTGTGGCACGTGCAATTGAGTTCTACGATGTGCCTCAATATGCGAAGCAGAGCATCGACACTCACCATTTGGGGACGAACGCATCCCGGGCCTGAGTCCTATGAACCCGAGTCGTATGTCCTGTTTGGAAAACTGGAGGAGAGTACTCATGTTTATTCCATGTTTTTTGATTTCTATCAATCCCATGGGGATGACTAAAAGCACTCAGGTTTGCCTAAAAGCCCGAAACATGGTAGTGAGTCTTTGTCTATGCTTGGGAACCGGCACGTCTCACCAACCCCGCGGCAGAAAAGGCGAGCAGTTCAGTTCCGTCGGCGGATCCTTTTGGCCCAAGAAACCGATAGCCAGAGGGATAGATCGCCAATCCAGCGCGCGGGCCTCGCACCTGGGGACGGTCAGGCGCTCGAGCGATAATGATATCGCTGGCCGTTTTGTTTTTTGCATGGGTGTCTCAGTGTCTCGTTGTAGGGACCCCCCCCCAAACAAAGCGAAAGGATATAGAGAACTAGAAGAAAGGTGTGTTTTCCCTTTCGTGTTCCTTTCAAAGCACCAAGAAAGGGCTTCTTTCAGCAAAGTTTATATACACAGCAAAGTGGCGGTCAAGACTTGGCGGGCATCAGCTTGTGTTAGTCCCGGTTTCGCAATTGAGGGGTGTTGGTTATCGGCTTTGTGTGGTAGTTGTATCGGGCGTTCACAAAGGTTTGTGGCCACGATTTTGATGGAGACACCTTCAAGAATGGTTTGGTGGGCTCCCGAAGTCCAGGGCTCAACGCAGAATCCATCTTGGATGAAAGTCGGGGAACCCTTGGAAAACGCCAAGGGCTCAACTTCAAAGGCTCGTTCTACAGGAACCCCCATGGTTTTTTGGTTTTGTTTATTTTGGATGTCCAATCTAAAATGTCCCCCGCCCACCCGCAAGGCAGGTTATGATGCTTTCGAGCTAAGGCCATGCGAGCGTGGTCACGACCGCTGAGGTGCCTACAGGCCAGCCGTTTTGACGAAATATGAAGAGTTTGAGATATGATGTTCTGACCGGATGTGGGCCAAGATGTGTATGTAAACAAACAACTATGTATGCGGATGTTTATGTGTGTTTGTTTGGGCTTGCTTTGAAGGTCCACTTGTGGCGTCCAAAGCCATATTTTGACATAAACCCATATGAGCCTCAGTCCTATTGGCCAGTTTTTGGTAGATGGCATCACCAGATGTAACTCTCACCTCGGCGTTGTTGTTTGCTGTTGCCTTTTTGTTTTTTCATCCCCCTTGACGTCACAACTTGCGGGTCTGAGTCAGGCCAGCGCTCTGCTACTTGGTGTGGAAAGAGCTCCCCCTCTTCAAAAACATGCCTCTTTGCCTGCTCCCCGTCTTCATTTTTGCCGGCTCCCCCTCTTCAGAAACATGCCTCTTGAACGGCTCCCCCTCTTCAAAAACATGCGGAAATGGTCGGTACAGGTCGGGTGAATATCTAGGGAACCTGATCCGCCTATTTCACAGCGATCTCACCAGGAGTAAACGAGCTATGATGCGGGTCCTTTACTTGAAATCCCTTATTTCCGGTTTCGGAGTCATGATCCACGAGAGCCCTTACCATAAGGATGTTTTGACCCTAGCACATATGAGATGCCAGCATATGTGGCGACTTCTGTTCGTTCCACCCACTGAGGGGCAACCGAATTGTGGGCAAAATCAACCTTTTTACTTTACGAAACCTTGCCAACTCACCGAAAGATATCGAACTTGATGTGGATGGGGGGGGACACTCACTGTAAATTCCACAGAATGTGTTGTCCATCCACGAAGCAGTGGAATTCCCATGTTAATCATAAAGTGATGGAGGAAGGTGCATGTACTGGTTTCCCTGCCCAGGTGTTGGGGGTCGGGGATACCACCAGGGAAATTGGGTGTAAATACAGGTCGACATCCCCCCACTAAGATTCTCTCGACGCTTTCTGACCACCCGCAGCTTCGGGGTGTTTAGAAAGGGTGGGGAACATCTTGGTGGGGGGGGGGGGAGTTCATTTGAGATCCCGAACCACAGGACCCCGTAGAACTGCCCCGGTTTCGCCCTGCAGGTCTTGCGGCGCCCGGCCACCTTCTGGGCACAGCACAACCTGCGCCCGCCCAGGCAAGATCCGTTGCTGAACCCCCGTTGGCTTGGGTTTCAAAGAGCCAGCGAGCCATTTCGGGTCGAGGTGTCGGCTCACTTCCCGAGTTGCTCCGAGTTCCTGGACATACTTTCTGGGAGGACCATTTTGGTGGCCAACCACAAGTTCCAGGACCTTTCTTGGGCCAAACGACTTGATCAGAGGTGGGTTGGGGCAAGCCCACTGGGTTTGTGCATTGGATTTGGTATCCCTCTCCAAGTCGGGTTAAAGGGAAGCAAGAGGAACACCGCCATGTGGGCGAGGTCCCCTAGTTTGACACATACCATGTGGGTTGTACTTCACGGGTAACCCCTGTAGCAGCGTGGCTTCCCTTTTATTTGAGGTATTTTAAGGTTGCCCTCTGAAGCAACCAAGAAAGAGTACTATCAAAACAGACACTTGCATATTCATATCCGGATGGATTTGGAATTTTGCGTTGTTTCAGACGTTATTCAGAGGGAGTCATTTGTTTTACCCTTTTTGGACCTCATAAGCGGTGCAAAGGAAGGAAGCCACCATATTGAGTGCTACAAGTGTTTTGACACAGAGAGGTATGTGTGTGTGTGTGTTGTTGGCCGGGCATTTGGAGGATATTTGAAGGGTATTTGGAGGGCATCCGGAAGGCATCCCTTTTCGGGTTCGTTTAAAGGGAAGCCAAGAGGTAAATCGAAATCCATCGGTGCCAGATGAAGTGCAGCAAGTACTTGACACAGACATATGTGTGTGTGTGTGTGTGTCTTGTTTGTACCATTTTGGGTGTCCAAATCCCTAGTTGGACACATCCAGTTGGACACATCCCCACAACGGCAACCGCCATTGGGCATGGTTCATTTGCACAGGGTGGGCGAGACCTGGGAGTCCTTCCTGCCGCCCTGTGTGCCTCGGTCGGAAGGACCGCGCCATGTGAATCAGAAAGGGAAACCTACCACAGAGAACAAAGGGACGAGGGTGTTTCTCAAATAGGGGTCCCCTAAAATGGCGGGTTGACTTTTGGTTGCGCGAAGCAGGGTCCACCATTTGGGTGTGAATGTTAATGGATCCCTGACCCTTCAGAATTCGGTTGTCTACAGACCACGGTTGAGGTGGTTCCAAGATCTTAAAATTCATGGCCTTTCCAACAATCATGGAAGCGGACAGAGGAGCTCCCCAAAGCAAGCGTCGTCTTCCAAACCCTCCGATCGTCAGCTTTCATGATTGTTGGCGGGAGAGTAGCTTTTCTCTTGGTGGGTCTTTGAAGCAAACTACAAAAGAGTTCCCTCAACAAATGGGCCCATCTTGTCTTTTGGGTGCAATTAACACGCGCACACACACACACCACACACACACACACACACACGCACATACCTAGAAAGGGGCTGTTGGTGGTCTTTTGGGGGATTCAAGGCCTTCTGCGGTTAAGTGCGGCTACTTGGGTCAACTGCCAAGAGGATAAAATCAACCCTGCGACCTGTGTATATATATATACATATATATATATACATATATACCTTGCCAAGGCCATACGCTAGCCGAACTCGGGGGAAATATGATAGCGGTAGCCCTAAGTCCAGACAGTTGGCTTCTCAGCCCGGTGGGTTTCTGCTCGTCAGCTGTGTGGTTAGGAGGGTGTTGGGCAGACTAAGAACCGAACTGAGCGCTTTGTCGAGGTGGGGATCAAGGATGCCCTCAGGAAGGCTATCCTTCTCATAAGAAGCTCCAAAGACGAACACATTTTCTTGCTAGTTCGTTGGCAGGAGTGTGGAATGATTCTTTGCCAACCGTGTAATCCTTTCAGTGTTGGGAGGCTCCCTGCCATATTCTGCATCAAGCACAAGCAAGTTTCACAGGGCTGCAATCCAGCCTGAGATACTCCTGGGGATCCACTAAGAGCGAGCTTTGGCGAGGGGCTGCAGATTCCTTTAGGAACCTCTGCACAATGAAACCAGCAGATTCCCTTTGGGCCATGTTTCATCATACAGCTGTGTATTACAATATATATATATATATGTATATATTAAATATATATATATATACATACATATACAGCATATTAATATAAGTGGTGAAAAATGTTTATGTAATCAAATACAACATATGTTTACAACACTAGACGTGTTTTGTTTTAAATTAGTGAATATGACAATAAGTTCAATCATATCTTAAAATCAACCTGAATACCCTTCCGCGGTCGAAACCGATTCCCCTTTAACCGTCCCACTGGCCCTGGGCATTGGGCACCAAGAGGGCACCAAAAGTAGGTCGCGCTTGTTCTAGGAGGGTGGTTTTTTTGGGGGACTCCCCCTTCAAATGGCTCGGTTTTCATTGTGGTTTCCCTGTAAACATCCCAAAAAGGCGTACCCGCAAAAATGGACACACCCAACCCAAGGGCCTAGGGGTCTTTCAAAACACGTCTTTTTCATCAGGCCCCTCGGCCAAGAGACGCAGTTTCTCGAGGCGCTGAAGCCGGCGTGCATCACCTGGCATCTCCATCGCCAGGAGATGTCCAGAGTGGTTCTGTGAGGGGCCCATGGTTCGGAATCCATAGATTTCGGACGATTGACGTGATGAAGTACAGGACACCAAGTTGGTACGAAATTCGGGTGATGCTTTGCCACAGGGGCCACGGCCAGGCGTCGTTTTTGAGGTTTCGTGGGGTGAAGCCTACTATTTCGGGAGGTGCCCACGTTCGTCAGCACGAAGCTGTGTCAGGCAATTCGAACTCAGTGCCAGGACGGCTGCCTACATTTTATTTCTGCACTTTCTTGGGCGTGATCATGCATATGTTCAGATACATCATGGGGCCCGGATACCCATGACTCTGGGGCTTGGTCAGGGGAATTAGGGCTTGCGATTGACCCCTTCCTGCGATCCTCTAGCAGATGTTCAAGCCCAGGGGTGGAACACGAGTTTCCATTGGGGATTTCAGAGCAACGTGTGATTCCGCCCATGAATCCTACTTACTGTAGCTGTAGTTCAGGTTTCAGAATTATATGTTTCTACCCAAAGGCGTCATTGGGTGCTTGCAATGGTGCAAAAAGGCGAACCCTTTTCGGAGTTGTTGCCTGTGGTTTCGCTTTCAAAGTCTGCAAACGTGGATATCCTCAAAGGAAAGACACCCACAGGAGATCATGGACAGCAACGCCTTGTATCCCCTCGAGTCGCTTTGGGTGCATCAGGCGCTTTGGGATTGTAAAAGCGGCGACGAAAGTGTGCGTTGCGTTGGTTTGGGTTGGTTTGCGTTGGTTTGATCTTGGTTGGTTTGGGTTGGTATTTGTTGGTTAGGTTTGGTTTGGGTTGGTTTGGGGTCGGTTTGGTCCGGTGGGTTTGGTGGGTTGGTCGGCTCGCAAATGGGATGTTCCCACCTGGTCACCTGTTGATTCTTCACATCATCTTTGGTGGCTTCCGTCAATGATTGCAGGCTTGGGCTTTGACTACCAACACTATATATCCCCACCTTACAATTTATGAACACCAAACCAGGCAAAGCCAAGAGTTCAACAATGCGATAAGAACTCCCAACATGCATATTTGCAAAGCCTCCATTTTGGGACTTCCAAACTGACCCCAAACCCAAATGCAACCAACGTGCCTCTGCAACCTTGGAATTCGGGTTCAGGGCCGTTTTTCTTCGTTCCTTTGGTTCCACCGCCCCTCCCCTGTTGGCCGGACACACGGAGCCTCCTGTGCCCAGTTTCGGGCTGTCTTGGCAATTTGTCTGCGGCTCAAACTTAAACAGCTGCGGCTAATAATGGGGTTTGGACTTGGCTTCCATTTTCGAAGGTGCCGCGGCGGGTACCATTGTTTGAGCCACAGCCATTTGAGTAGAACACTCTCTGGGTTTCGATTTCATATGGCTTTGGATCGTGATAGGGAACTGGACCCCAATTCCTTCCGGTTTCCCTGTAAACCTGAAAAGGGTACCCTCCGGGCATCGTATACATGACAGCACGCATACATGACAGCCACCGGGCATCGTTGAGGCTGTCGATGGACTTTGGTCGCCTTTTGGGAAGATCAGAGGTAAACATCAAGTTCCAGGTCTTTTCTGGGCAATCCACTCGATTGGACCCGGAATCCTCGGAACCCTCGGAATCCTCGGAATCCTCGGGGCCCGGGCGGGCGGCTTCTCGGGCCAGGGCAAGCTGCGGTGCCGCCTGGTGGCCTACGTGCAGGGCGGGTGCTTCCACCTGCGCCTGAGTCCCTCCTGCGAGGCGACCGGTGGTCAAAACTCCCGCAGCTGTCATGGCCATGGCTTGCTGAGTGGGATCCCTTCTAGTGGTGGTCCAAATTCCCTATTTAGTGGTCTACCATGTCCTTACAGAACTCCTGGTAGCAACTCCCTCAAACACATTTTGTTGGATACCGATCCGAGTCTCAACCACTAGTGGTTGACCTAGCATCCCTTCACGGGAGACACACGGTACTGCCTGCTTTACGGCGAGCTTACCCAACCTCTGGCCTCCCCAACTCCCTCTTTCAAGCCACCAAAACGCTTTTCCCCAAACGGCTAAAAGCTTCGGAGTACGGGGCAGCTCGGGCTAGGGTTCCTGGCGGCGGTTAGTTTTGGCGAGTTCTCTTCTTGGAGGGTTCCCCCAAAGACTGCCCCACAGTCCAAGGCGCAGCTCCAAAGGCGAGCCAGTTGATACACGTGTGGCCGGTGGTGGCTCTCTTGTCGAGGTGGCCTAGGCAGCACGGGGTAAATCACATTTTGCCAGGATGCTTGTTTGGATCTTTTTGGGTCCTTCCTACCCGCACCAACATTTTAAGTGGGGCTGCGCAAAATTGCGCAAAGCTCACTTGGAACTGAATGAAAGCGTTTGCTGCGGCATGCGCAGGCTGGCAGCGTCGTGCAAGAGATGGAGCTGCAAGCAATGCTGACTCCTGGCTTAGCAGCGGCTTTGCGATTCTTCAAGGCCCCTTGAACGCTTGGGATATCCATCAGCAGGATTGACCCTCCTACAATCAGAGTGGCTTGGCCGCCGGGCCCGTGAGCCCAGATCCCAAGTTTTGATCAGCTCAAGACTCGACTGATCAGCACCTGGAGTTGTGGCGGTTCAATAACTGTCCATCACCAGAGAATTATGCCTGGCATGGCGAGTCAACCAGTCACTGTGGCCAAAATTGGTACAAGTGATACTGCTGGACAACCAGTCACTGTGGCCGGAAAGGTTGCTGACAGAAGTGGTGGCACTTTGCAGCAAGACCCAATGGCGTGCAGTGCGTCAAATTGCAGCAACTCACAGAGGGGCTTGCTTTTTCGGTCTTGGGGGTTCTTATCCATAGGGATCGCTTATGTTGGTATGATGATCAACCAGTGACAGGCCTTCTCCGTTTGCGTGCGTGGCTATTTTGGGGGGTACCATTTATTTTGGCTTGAAAGGGATGCAAACACGAAAACCTCAAAATAGGAGTCCCCATGTTTGAGACACACCCGTTTGGTGCCTGGCATGCCGAGGAATCTCTTCGGCCTGACGGAACAGCCGCTTAGCACCTTCATTACCGAGGATAACTTTCATCACAAGGCGCGGGTCTGCCCAAACTTCCGGCCAACGGGTCCCATGGGTCCCCCAAATCGGAAGGAACCCAAAGGCGTGAAATGTTGCCTCCAGCGGCCCGGCCCAATTTTTTGGGGGGTTGGTTCTGAAAAGGAGACTCCATGATGGATTTCTGGGTGAAATGCAGATGGATTGCTTCAGCGCATGTTGAGAATCGTTGCTCTTCATGGCAGCCGCTAGGTGATCCATGCCTTGGCGTGCTGATCTTGAAGGAAGATTTGCACCAGCTCCCAGTGTCTATGTGTAGGTTGATTTATGCAGTATATATGTATCTCTATATATATACATACACATAAATGTGCTACCGCCCCCCACCCCCTTTCCGGGTGCCCCCGCTTTGCTTGATTTCAGCGCGCAGGCTGTAAAGTTTGGACCATTTGTTGCAGCAGGTGCCACCTTTTTGCTTTGTTTGAGCAGACAGGCTGTAGGGTTTAACCATTTTTGCGGCAGACTGATACGCAGGCAGTCTGTGCGTATCATCCAGTTTTGGACAGAGAGCAATTCTTGTGCACAATTTGCAAGAGAAGAAGCATTCCAAGCAGAAATGTATCAACATGTAGACCTGCTAGAAGCCTCTGGAAATTATAGAGACTAGACCCGCACAAGAACAATTAGGTACTCCTTGCAGAATGACTAGAAGGCAGGTGGCCAGAAAACAGAATTTACTGTGTTGTAAGCAAGATTATGTCCGCACAGCAAGTTAGCCGCGTTGTTTTGCAAAGACAAAGCTGAGTTGTTGTGTGCAATTTCTTTGCGCAAGTGTCATTGCGCAAGCTCTCTAGGCGCAAGGTGCCGAGGAAAGCTTTCTCCAAAATCTTGACGCCGGACTACAGGCCATAGAGTCTGTTTAAGATTATAGTGTATGAATCCATTTTGCTCTGGTTTTGGACAGAACATTTTCCATTACAACAATAGGAGAGAACAATCATTCCAAGCAAGATGCAGACATGCCAGACCCCTGGAATTTACAGAGAACGTACCGACGGAAATTTGGGGTATGCCTGGAACAAGAAGAACACATTTTTCCAAGATTCGAAAATCACAATTGCCCAGGAAAGCTGTGTCCAGAGTTCTGACTCCAGAAAACGAATGACATTCAACATGGAAGCTTGTCCTTCTGAAATTATGACTGCCGACTCTAAACTTCTCAATACAGTATTTAGATGACACATGATTCCTGGGGGCCTGTTGGGAGCAACCTTAGATCCATAATGTCCCCCGCAAAAATATGGTTACCGGCATCTAGATATCCAAATACCGTAAACCCCGGATCCAAGATCCAAGCTCCAAGATTCGTGGGGCACTGTTGGGAGCAATCTTGGATCCATGAGCGACACTCCTGAAATCCAAATACCAGTGATTAGATTCCTAAGTCCTGGTATGTCAGCTCCTGGATCCAAGATCCAAGATTGCCGGGAATGCAGATCCGTGGTCCATTCGGCCTGGGTGTTCACTGCCTCATACCTTTTCGCAGGGCGTGGCAGTGGAGCTGGAGGACCGGAATGGGAGCGGTTCATTCAGTTTTGAAGCTGAACCATCGGGCCAAACTTTTGCTTAGACCTGTTCAACCAATTGCTGAAACAACCTTCTTATGGTTTCCCTTTAATTAATTGTAAAAGGGAGCAGAGGCTGGTTATTTGAGCACATTTGCACTTTGGCCCAACCCTGACCGGAACCTCGGAAAATAAGGCAACCATTGGAGGAATCGCCTTCCAACACTCAATACTCGCTCGGGGTGATGCAATTGTTCGAAAAGGTCTTTATTAACATGCTTGGAGGAATTACCTTCAAAAGACCATATCAACAGAGGTCCATGCTCATTTGCGGCGGGCATACTTTCCCAGTTTGCTTTTTAGGCTTTCTGAGCTTGATACAAAAGGAGCGATTTCGCCCATGAATGCTTCTTCAATATTTGCTTATGTCCCGGTGAATTCGAAAGCGTCGCATGGACAGACTTTGGCCTGGTCCAACACTTCTCAGGTCCTTAGGATTCCGACTTTGCCCTTCTGCCGCTCAATTTTTCGGGATTCCACGGCAACATCCGGATGCCGCTGTCGCATCCGCGCCCGCACGCCGTCGAGGCGACCATGGCCAATTCCAAAGTGATGGATTCCTTGCGGACGGGTCTCCCACCCCACGTTACTGTAGGAGCGTTTGACCCCCCACCTCGAATAAATGAGGGTGCTGGGTTTTAAGGGGATCCCATCTCGCTTTCGGTTCGGATACCTGATCAATTCGAACCATGGCTTCAGGGACACCAAGGAGTCCAACATGTTCCCGTGTGCCGTTTCGCGCAAGAAAAGCCATGTCAGGATGTCAAGATGTCAAGGAAACGGAGGTTTTGGCCAAGTTTAGAATTCAGGAAACGGAGAATCCTGTGGTGTCCCTGCCACACAAAATCCGAAAGGTCACCAATTTGAGGAAGCAAGCACCCCTGAAGTTGGAGTGGAACCACAAAAACACCACCGTGTTTAGAGGGGAGTTGCCGGCGGGAAACGGCCAGTTCTTCCGCCCGTGCTTGGGCCTCAAACTTTGCACGCGAGAACCACATTGGTGTTAGGAGCCGTCCACGTTTAGGGGTTTCTCATACAACACCCACAAAGAGAACCACATTGAAGTTGTAACCAAATTGACTTCCTACGTTGTTTGAGACCAACCAACTGCCGGAGTTGTGTGTGCACGTATAATCCCCGGCAATATGTATGTATATGTTTATGCATAATATATATATATAGATACATAAATGTATGTGATCTATGTACATACATGTGTATTACTCTGATTTATGATATTGTTTCTTAATTATTTAGTCATATGTTCATTCATGTGTTTGTTGCTCATGTTCTAATTGTGTGTTCATTTCTGTATTATTGACTCATTCATTTGCATACACATAGATATCGATATACAATAGCATACACGTACGTAGCACTTGTGTACACGTTGCTTTCACGGCCCATGGCCCTCATTTCGGCAAGGACCTCACCGGGCTGCTCCGCGCGGAGCTGCGGCTCCGGAAGTTCGCGGCGGTGCTGAGGCGCAGCGCCCGAGCCGCGGTTCGGGACCCCGCGGGTGCGTCCAGTCACCACACTACTTCAGTCACCACAATGCTGGGTGCTTTCCAGCCATCCTAGTAATATTGTAATATTACTCAAGTGCTGCCCTAGTAATATGAGGTACAATCAGCACATGATTTCATCATGCCCCTTGCCTGGAACTGCGCATTCTACTTTCAACCTTTAAGTCTCGCAGGGTTTGCGGTTGGTTGACATGCATGTTTCAGGGAAGCAACAGTAGCCAGCTCGTTGTTGGGCTGGCGAGAAGCAGCATCCTTTTGGGCTTCGACTTCTGCCCAACACCTTGGGATGGTGACGCAAGGACATGAGCAACGCTAAATATGCAATACTATGTCAGGTAAGGGGGATCACATCGGGCACACCCAGGGGTGGGATTCTCACTACCCTTTGTCAGGTGGGAAATGAACAGCCACGGGAAGCCCTGAATGCTCTTTCATGGCAGTCTCTACTCGTGAATGGAAGCTATTTGGCTGCCATGGCTCCCCTTGAGAGTCGGCTTTCAATCACTACCCCACTTGGGTGTTCCGCGAAGCTGGTCAGTTTGTTGGTATCCTAGGCTATAACCCACTTGTAAGTTCCTCCACGTGGGGTCAACCCTCTGATGAGTGGGTTATGATCCAAGTGGCTATCCACTTGCGAACTTGGCAACGAGCATCCAAGGGGCCGAAGGCCTTAGAGACCTTTGGGGTCAAAAACGTGCTGACAAGTCCTGCAAGAGTCACGTGCTGTGACTGTGAGGAGCGATATGGCTCACCTGGACGCGGCCGGGGGCCACGAAAGCTCTCGCTTGGATCTGGTGCTGGCACCCCCGCGCCTTGGTCGGGGAGGGCAAGGATGCCGCTGTCAGTTCGGTTCTGCCAGGTGGGGGCGGGCGGAGGTGGTGTGGAAATGTGGACTTTGTAGTCGGTGGGTGTTGCGACGTCCTTTGGCTTCTTTCATTAAGCATTCAGGTAGAAAAGTGGATCTTATTCAGCAGCGATTCATGAAACATCCTGAGATGAGTTTCACCGGAAAATGACCCGGGGTATTTGCAGGGCGAACAGCTCCACAAATCCCCAAAACCCACAACAGACAGGCACCAATCTCCCAAAAGCCACAACGGACAGGGCCCAGGGGATTCCCATACCTCAAGCTGCCAGCATGGAGTTGAGCCACTTTTGTTTGGTTCCTTAGTGGATGTGTCGAAAGCTGCTTGTAAGGGGGCCGTTGGCAACCTTTCGGCTTTCCCTTGAACCGAAGTTGGGGGCCATCTTTTGACAGGTTGCATTTGTTAGGTTCATTCGAGTCTGCAGCAGAAGCTGAGGTTAGGAGGGAGGTCCGATAAAAGCCAAAGTCGGTGCAGGCAGCCCTTCAAGATCGAAGGCGCGGATGAATCCGGGAGAATGGCCAGAACTGGTGTTTTAGACGACCTCGCAGAAGGAGAATCCCCGCTTGGTGTTTTAGACGAGTACTGCCGGACAGTTTTAGGCGGGATGGGGCGGATCCATTTTGTTGCCTGAGTTGCCAAGCCGGGGCTGAGACTTCGTGTGATTGCTGGGCGCGCTGATTGAACCTCAGTACTCAGTACTTCTTGTGCAGGTTATATATTGTTTTATGGCACCTCAAGAGCCGTCCCTTTCAGAGACACCTCTCTTTGGGGTCCGGGCCCTTTTGAGTTCCACATCGATTTGCAGCGGAGTAACTCTTTTTGTCCAATGCAGCTCTCTAGACAGTGTAGCTCATCAGGCTCGTTTCAATGCACCCGGATCAAATGAAACTGGTTTTGTGACAAGGCCATGCTCGCTTTGGTTCCAAAGTAACCCCTTGAAACCAAGCAAAAGGGCGGCCGCACTTCTCAGCGGGCGCCTCGGCCAGGTCTTTGGTGAAACAGACCATGCGACTCCACTCGGATGTGGGTGCTTTCTACACTAGGCAACCCCTTTGGGCAGTTTACCGTTGCTTCCCGCAAAAAGCAAGCCACACAAACATTGAGTAGGCCTCATTGGGCGTTCACATGCATTCCCTACGTTTGCGCTGGAGTCGCTGGTTGTGACCTCAACCCACATGAATCTCGTCAAAAACAGTGTCTATGCGATTGTTCCTTGTATGCTCCTTTGGCATTCAGCCATGAATGTTCTGCATGTAGCTTCAATGATATTCATTCCATGTTGTGCGTTAGCAGCCAGTCATCCTCATGCACAACTTTGATCTTACTAGCCTTTAGCCCACACATCCACAGCTGCTCAGTTGGCCTGTTTAAAACAGCCATTGGATGCTGTATATATATATATATATATATATGTACACGTATTTGTATGTGTGTGTGAGTATATGGTGGGATTTGCTTGATTGTAAACGCTGCGCGCTGCCCACCTCGGCCAGGCTCGAAAGAGCCACAAGAGCAATGCGGGCTTGAGCAAATGATGCCGGGGCTGGGCTGAGCAGTCTGGTGGGCTGCAGCGCAAAGTGATTGCCAAGAGCTTGAACTCCATTGGCGGGGCCGGGCAACAAGGTGGACTGGGATGACGGTCTCAGGAGCTAGCTGCGCCAAGCGGGGGTGGAGCTGAGCAATCAGATGGCGAAAGTTGGGCGGCGCAACAGGTGGAACGTAGAAGCCGCTTCTTGAGTGGAGAGGAGTTGCCGCGCCGAAAGGCCAGGACGAGACAAGGAGGAGCCACGTGGATAAGTGTTTGTTGATCATGGGTGTAGCAAAGACCAGAGTGCAAATTTGCATGGTTCGCGGAAGATCTTGTATTAGATGTATTAGAGCCTGCCCTCCTTGTAGGTGCAGGTGGCCTCTAGCTGAGGGCTCTGCGCGCGACGAGATATGTCAAGTAGTGATCTGGAGAGGATACCCAGGCGCCCGGAGATCGAAAGGACAGGGACGGTGTGTAGAACAGGCGCAAGTAATTTGCCTGGAAGCCGGGCGCCAGGGCTCAACGTTCATGCCTGGCCAGCTGGCTGAGGGCGACGTGCAAGAAGCAAGGGTGTACAGGCCAAGGGAATGGTCTGGCTAGGGGCTGGCGCTCGCTCCAGGGATGGGGTTGGGAAGATCCCTATTATCTAAAAAGGCCTTCCCAGGGCCGATGTGGATACTATTAGCCAATCCATCCAAAACTCAAGCGACCCCTTGGCTGCACTAGCTCGACGCGATGCTTGCGCAGGCACTCAGACCCTTATTGGCAAGTGAGCGGCTGCCGTGTGTACATAAGAGGGTCGCGTCCGTGCAATGGTCTTGAATGTGCGAGGGAGTTTTTAAAGCAGAACAGCAGTCAATGGACAACTACGAGGAAGATCGGAAGATCAAACTGGAACGGGGTAATGCCCCAGCTGAAGGTTAGTCACTCGCTTTGTGGCTGTTTGTCCGACTTGTGATCCCCTAAAATGTGTGGTTTCATTCTGGTTCGGCTTCGACTACGGACCAAAAGGGGGGCACCATTCTGAGGAACCCCGTGTCTTGGTTTTCTGTACCAACGTGTCACGGTGCTGCTGGCTTCCGAGCGCTCGAGAAGGTGGCAATTTAAACGTGTGCTTCTCGAAGGAGCTGAACGCTCTTTGGATGCGCGCCTGACAACTTGTATCTCAAGCGATCGAACACGTGGGTGTGTCTTTTACACGGTTTTACCCTTTTTAAGTTCGTCGAAACAGAAAACAGAAGGCCACTAACCAATTTGGGAAACAAGCCCTTGTCAAGCAAATGTCACGGTCAACGGCTGCTACGCAGAATTGTTGGATGAAGAACAACTGCGTGGGGGTCTTGACAGTCTTGGCATGTCTTATGTTACGGTTTCTTCACGTAGGGTTCCTTGAGGGGTGTGGTTTCTCCAAAGGGAGACGAACACTTTTATGTGCTCAGTTGTTTCAAGCCGTAGAGTCAATGAGACATGTAAGCACTCACAGTGAGAAATGGTTGCCAATTGCTTCTAGTGTGGCAGTGTGAGAGATGTGTATCTTGATCTTTAATAGACGGCGCTTCATAGTTTGCCCGCAGACCAACAACTTCTATGTGTCAAGTAAGGTTGGTTGGAGGAACATGTTCCTAGTCGCACGCGTCTGAGTCAAGCCAAGGCTCAAGTTGATGGGCAGCTTCCGATTTGCATGACATTTGCTTGAGCGTATCCTTGGATTCAGGAGTCTTCAAGCTGTACAGAAGAATATCAGTGCTGCGTTGCGCACTCGTCAAATAGTTGTTTGCTCCGAGAGGCACGGACTCGATACAGGGTCCGTTGACGTTGGGTCAGGGTCACAATGGGCAGGCTAAGTTAGTGATACCACAGACAGGTGTGGTCCGAGACGGTGGTCCGAGATGAACAGCAACATTGCCAGTTTTGCGAGTTGAACAAATTTTACAGACCATCTTGAAAGCAGCAAGCCACTCACTCACACCTTGTGAGAGGTGTCCGAAGCATGTATTTTGAGGCAGCTTTGTTGCTCACGTTGTGAGGAAGATGGGTCTCTCATGAATAAGCAATCCCTGAACAACTTGCGTAACAATGTTGGTAGAACCAGAAGTCAATGGGTTTCGGGCGCTGCTCAATTATTCAATCAGTTTAGCACTTCCAGGGACGAGCCAGTCAATGAGGGTGCTGATTTGGCCATGAGATTGTGAGGCCTAGCAGAAAGGTTCTCAGACGCCTTCCAAGAACCTTCCTTGTCGGAAACTTTCTTGGGCTGTTGAGATGTGCAACGAACAAGGAGCTGTGCTTGTGTGTTCTGTGTATGCCAATGTGTCACGCTCAGACGCGGTGATGCCCCAATATTGGGGAATCACAAGCAACCAAACCAAAGCAAGGGGCACTCTTTCATAAGTGTCACGACCAAGTTGGACTCCTGGTATGATTGACTGATTTGGATAAGACTTTGTAGCTGTTTGGTTGACCGGGCTGGACTAGCTGTTTGCTTTCTCTTGCTGTTTCCGTGTTACCCACTAGCAAAATGCGTAGGGGTGCAAAAGAGACCGAGGGGTCGCTGAGAACATGGCAAGAGCACAGTGGTAAGGGACCTGCGTATTGGGTCGTTCAGCCGTCTGCTCTTCAGTGGCAATACCTGGGACTGTTCAAAGCTAGGGACCACCTAAATTGCTGATTTCATATGAGTCTCTTTTTTCAAGGATTTCCAAAGGGGATACCTGCGGATGTTCGGCCAAGTCCGTAAGGTGTTGGTAGCCTTACCCCACTTCCCAACTTGGCCAAACATCCAGATACCTTGAGGCATGTGCCACGCGCACGCCCTCTTTAGTGCCAGGACGGTGGGAAGATGCTCTGGAGGCTCTCGGCAGTTTCAAGGCCCGCCGACCGCCTGGGACTGCGCCTCTTCGATGCGTACGCGTTGGTCTGTAAACAAACCCACGGATGGACACAATCCACGCCAGGCGCTCGGTGGCAGTTGGATTATCCATGTTAGTGCTTTATCCATCCCAACCGGTGCAGCAGTTTGTCTATCCACTGTGGGTTGTGTCAGCAATGTGGGCAAGTGAGGAATTCCTTGTTCTGAAAGTGCCTTGTTTGGACACCATCAGCATTGTGCGTGGCAACGTGTCACAACTTAGATGGGTCCCCACTTTCCAGGCACTTCCAAATGGTTGCAACATATTGCAAACGTCTTGTTTTGTTCCAGTCCGGGGACAACAGTTCCAATAGCTCTGAAGGTTGGTTGCTTTTGTCCAATGTGATTGGAGGCTGCTGTTTGCTGCAGCCCATGTTGTTAGTACAGCCCACAGCGTGCATTACTTTGCCAACCTGTTTGCTTTCTCGTTTTGTGTTTCTTTTTTCTATGTTGTTTAAGCAACGCGCCAAGTATTGCGTGTTTGGGCCCTCAGTTTGGAGCGGCGAGACACCCCCGATTTCAAAGAGCAACATGTGCGGCAAGCGATTGGAGCATGTGCAGGTATGCAAGGGGTATTCAGTTGGTCCATACTTGGATGTTTGTTGCCAGGTTAGTAAGTAGCAACTTGGGTGAGAAAAACCAACCTGATGACAGGGGTATCCCCACATAAGTGGGCTAAGTGGGTTAAATTCCAATGTCAGTTGGGGACCCGATGCATATGGCTCAGTTGGAGAAAGCTCAAGTGTTTGGAATCGCACGGCAGGCCGTGGAGGCTCCAGATGTGCGCATGTACGGCGCAGCAATTGGCGCGGCATGGCTGAAATGCGGGCGGGAAGGGTTGGCTGGGTGACAGGTGTTGATGGCTCCTGGGCCGTACATACATTTTGAAGGCACCCTCAACTGCAAAACAGCCAGAATAGACAGAACTTGGCTGGTCCGAAGCCGATTGACCTTTGGGGTTTCCCTTGTTGGTTCGCTTTTTCGTCAAGTTGAGAGCATGTTTTGTCCATGTCTTGCGTTTCACCAGCCCCCAGGACCAGGTGGAGGTCCCTAAACATCAACCTATGTCCAGCTTGGGGTAGGAATGCGTCCCCAGGCGCTCTCGCGCTGCGGCCGCTGGCAAGAGGCGGCGAGTTTTAGACGTCGCGGCATTTGTCTGTGGCCAGACTTGGCTTTCCTTTTATCAGGTTGTGGTTTGTTTGGCTTCTTTCATTTTCCCCGTCAGTGGTGTTCTTCAAGCATCATTCTTTGGAGGAGTTTCCATTTCTGCCAGGGTGGCTGAACACACCCCACATCACACGACCATCCGGGCGATCTTGCAATTTCAGAGTTCCTCAACACTGACGCTCCTCAATGTTGAAACGCATGTAATGCGTCGCAGCACATTAGGTGCGTTTGTTTGGTGCGCAGGTTGTTGAAAGGCAGACCGAAGTGAAGCCACCGATCATTTTTGTTCGCCCACCTACCGAATTTGTTTTGCGTTGTACACAAACCATCATGTGTGTGTGTGTTTCCTGAATGACAAGGAGCTCCAAGACTGCATCGGTTTCGAGGACTCGTGGCTTCTAGCATAGCAGCGGCTTCTTTTCTCAGTTGCCTATGACACCTTTTGGTGCGAGCACCTTTGCATACATGCATTGCAGATGCCACCTGCGTAGCAAGCTGGGTAACCTTTGCCGTTCCAAGCGTTGAACATGTCACTGCTGAACAGTGGCGCGGTTTTTGTTCAAAACCCAGCATGGATGCCATTCTGGCCATGAAAACGCACACCGTCCCCCGTGGATTTGCTGCTTGTAGAAGTGTATGGTAGATGTTGTGGCATGGCAAAACACAGTGATTTGATAGATGAGCCCTTCGCGTTGCTTTGGAAAATCGTCAAAAGCGCACGGCCTACAGCCACGGTCACCACGTTTTTTCCCCCTGTGTTGGGGTGAGGCCTTTCCTTTAGACTAAAAGGGGTGCCCTCTTTTCAGTGAATCCAGCTAGTGGGTTATACCCAAGTCTAAGCGCCAACCCACCAACTCGGCTAAACATCCAAGTGCATGCCTTGCAGGCCTTGGGGATGCTAGATGAGTCGGAGTGCCCAGGCCTTCCGAGTCAAAAGGGGGGGGAGGGTGACATTTGAATCGGGGGCCCTGAAAGTCAGAAGGTACCATAATGCTCGTTCTTAGAAAATACGGGAATCACGGTTTACCAGCCATTCCCTACACAAATCCGTTTGTGTTTGGTAAAGACTTATTCCAAATTCCCTACTAATAGCCAGCACGAAGATGGCCCTTTCGCCCAAACACACTGCCTTTGTGTTTAACAGGTGATGTTACATGTTTGTTTATCAGGGCCGGGAAGTTATATTGAATCAGGATCAGGGCTTATGCCTGAATATGCGGGGGTTGATCAAAAGGTCCTTCACATGGAATGACCATTGGGCAACACTGTGCATAGGACGAGTTTTCTCTATGGGAAAAGTTGCCCACGGAGATTTGGGGGCCAATAATATTGATCAACCCCATATAATGCTTAACATCATCCTGGCCATTCCCGGCCCTATCCAGTTGTCACCTGTGGCAACCTCTTGACAGGGATATCGACAGTCACTGCTTTTCTGGCAAAGGAATCGCTGCTTTTGCACTGAACTAAGCAAGGGGTTTCTGGATACACATTGGCTTCATTGCGGGATGCTGAGGGATGTTGCAGCTGTAATCCATCTATTCCTGTGTAGCGATAACTTGCAATGCATCGAACGCATTGAATCTAGGCTCATGTGCTTGTCGCTGCTTATACCATGTCGTGATTCTGCTGCTTTTACGAAACTCTAGGACAACAACAGTCGCCAAAAAGTTGGCTTAGTGACGTAAAAGGCCCTTGGTTCAGCAATTGATCACACAACACACACACACACGCGCACGCGCGCGCGCATGCGCCCGCACTCGCACCCTCACCCGCACGCGCGCACGCGCGCACACGCACGCATGAGCGCACACCCGCACACGCGCACACCCGCACACGTGCATACGCGCACGAACGCGCACACACACACACACACACCCACCCACCCACCCACCCACCCACCCACCCACCCACCCACCCACCCACCCACCCACACACACACACAGAGACACACACACACACCCACACACCCACACACCCACACACCCACACACCCACACACACACACACACCACACACCACACACCACACACCACACACCACACACCACACACACCACACACCACACACCACACACCACACACCACACACCACACACCACGCACCACGCACCACACACCACACACCATACTCCACACTCCACACTCCACACTCCACACTCCACACTCCACACACCACACTCCACACTCCACACTCCACACTCCACACTCCACACTCCACACACCACACACCACACACCACACACCACACACCACCCACCACCCACCACGCACCCCGCACCACGCACCCCGCACTCCGCACTCCGCACTCCGCACTCCGCACTCCGCACTCCGCACTCCGCACTCCGCACTCCGCACACCGCACACCGCACACCGCACACCGCACACCGCACACCGCACACCGCACACCGCACACTGCACACTGCACACTGCACACTGCACACCACACACCGCACACCCCACACCACACTCGACACTCGACACTCGACACACGACACACGACCCACGCACGACGCACGACAGACGCGCACACTCGCAACCGTGCAACACACACACACACCAAACGCGCGCGCACTTTCCCACCCACCCACCCACCCACCCACGCACGCACGCACGCACGCACGGACTGACGCACGAATGCACTAAACAAGCGCAGACACACACCCAGACACGGGCAGACACGCCGACACCGACACCAAGGTCAGAGAGAGAGCGAGAGACACACACATACAGACACACACACACACACACATTGTGATTCTGACATTAGTTTTGCAGCCTGCCGGTCTTCGAAAAGGTTTTTGTCGCCCATTTGCCAAATGCGAGACCCGCAAGCTCGTTCGACATGGACAATGCACAGAAGTGTCTTTATGGCACTTTAGCTTGTTGTCCCTTCCAAGGAAATGAAAACCGGCCCTCCTGCACACAAAATAATTAAAACTTTGCCCAAACGGACATGAAAATTGGACGGTGTTTGTTTCTCGTTAGTTTGATGCTGCCAATATTCATCATTTAAGAGGGACCCTTGAAAGATGCCAGTGGGGACAGAAAACGACCCCTGTCCCTGAGTTAATGGACTTTCGTCACTTTTTGGGTTTGGACCAGACTAGTAGTTTCGACCTCTTTGTTTTGCCAGTCCACTTGATCGGAAGTTACCACCCAGATTTCACGAGAAGCGGGTCATTCAAGGCTGGCGGAGTGCGAGCTGGAGCCCAATGCCGCTGCCGGGGATCCCATTTGTTCAGGAGGGGGCGCGCCCAGTTTCCTTTCAAGGGCAAAAACGGCACATCTTGAAACTCGGCCTTGATTCGCTTTCATTTGGGGGATGGGTTTTGCTGTTTGTTTTGGTGGGTCTACTTTTTCAAGTTGCTCAACACAGGGTGCCTTGAAAGGGATACCGCGAAAAGCCAGCTACTTTATGATGGGATTCCCTATATTCTGAGTCAGCTGGTAGAGCGCTTGTTCAACCGGCCGAAATGCATCCTTGAAGGGACCATGAACAACAGTGCGTTTGTTTTCCCACTTGCAACTGGCGGTCTTCCGAGCAAATGAGCACGGGACCGCCTGGTTACCAAGAGGCGAAAGATAGCGGATTGGAGGTGTCCACGGATCGAGTCGATGTTCTTTTGGCGGCTCCGAAATTTGGGGCTCCATGCTTTAAACTTGGTGGCCGGCGATTCTTTGCATCATTGAAAGGGCGAAGCTTCAGAGAGCCGGTCGAATTTGCAGTGGGCCTCAGGAACTAAAGGGGTCAGCGGGGTTTGGACCCCCACGCCGTGGGTGACACTTGGAAAAGGCGGCGCAAAGACGACGCACTGCTTGGGACCGACAAACCTTTATAAGGAGGATGTATTTGGGAGCCCACCAACATTCCTGAGTTGAAACCAGGGCGCCCGCCCAAATGTTCCCATGTCAAGAAATGGTTATGTGCTTTTCCGGGCGCAACATGTTGGGTTGCCGGGTTTGCCCGGACCGAATGACGGTCACTTGGACGTGGATTGGGAATTGTGCAGGCTCCAGGACTGTGGCTTGACTCTCTTAGTGAGAGACCTTCAGAATGCCACCAACACTTGCATGCAGCTGTCCAGGCCGGGCTGCCTTGTATACGCAAAGCAGACAAGTCATGAGCCGCGCTGATAACTTGCTGGCAGAACTTCCGTTCCTGCGCGGTACTGAAAGCGCAGCGGAGACAAAGACCAGCTTTCGGGAAGGTAGCTCCTTCAAACGCAAGAAGACCCCAAGCCCTCTTAGGCGCCAGGTGTCCAAAACCACCTGTGGCAAAGTGGCAGCGTGTCAAATAAGCAAATGGGACTGCGCAGCCGCGTAGACCGCGCAGATAGCGGAGAAGTCACATGGCGTGAGGGGCTGGGGGGTCGGGATCGACTAGCTTGCTTGGCCTCGACATGCCGCGTTCTTTACACCCCCCCCCCCATTCCCTCCCCCCCCTCCTCGACAGCCACAAACACGCTGCGCGGGGCAGCATGAAAGTTCGGGCAAACCCCCCCCGTCAACCCAACATGTTACAGCGAGGCTTCGTATCCCCGGAATGACCGTTGAATGAGGCGTTCTTCTAGCAATATGGCTGTGGGTCCCTGAGAGAACTCATGACCTGCTTTGATCCAGACCGAAGGGAGTGTTGACCATGGCCACGGACATGAATTCCAAGGGTGTTCGTTTGATTCAGGCTTTCCCCTATTTGCAGATTGGACATTTTACCTGGGCTGTTGCCAGATGGCTTATATTCTCGACAACACGGCCCCCAAAGTAAGTTTCCGTGTGTAGGTTGTTGGACCTTAATAGCTTCTACATGTCTCAACACCTTCCATTCAACACATGCATGTCTGTCCAACTGGTTTTGCGACATGCAAAGGCAAAGGCAAGTGCAGGTGTGTTAAACTTGCGACTTGTGGTTGGTATCATGTCGCTCCAACTGGGTGCGTGTTTTCCTTAGTACCCTTTTCAGGTTGGTTCAACGGAACCGCCCTTTGGGGTGCTCCCACAAAAACAGCATTTGTCGCATACCCAACTGGTGTCCGGTCCCGAAAAAGCCCGTCGGTGCCACCTTGGCGCGAAGATGCGAAAGTCGGAGCCCAAGTTTCAGGTCTACGGCGCGGCGGTGCACAGCTGCAAGCGCCACGGGTGCTCGGCTCAATGGAGGCCACTCGAATCCCTGTATGGCAAAATGGGTGTGTCGTTTTGAGGGAACACTTTTTGTGGGTGTTTATATATATATATATATATTTATTTATTCTGAAAGGGAAACCAAAGGTAACCACTGGTTGTATTGTAGGGGGTGCCCTTAAACACAAGCCCAAATAGGGATTTGGACTCCCTTGCAAAAATGGCTTTGCTTTTACAAGGCTAATTTGGGTTTGTCTTTTGTAGGGGATCCCAAAAGTGGTTGGTTTTCCCACTCCAAAAAGGGATTTACCCAGAAGCATTGTTTGAGGTTTCCGGTTTTTTGTGCTTTTAAAGGACAACCAGAAGGCAACTCGAAATGTTCGGGGTCCGATTTTAAAAAAACAGACACACGCCAACGTGTCTTTGTCCAATAGCAGAAGTGCCGAACTGGTACCCTGGACGAACGGCTGCAAATGCCACCCCTTTTTAGGGTCCCAAAAGCAGTGTCACACCAAGCGACCCTTTTTGGGGGACTCATGGCAGCATGGCACCAGAGCCCCAAGATAGACCAGGAGGTTTACTCTCAAGGATTGTCCACGACCCAATGGGTCTCCTAAATGATGTTGAAAGGGAAGCCAAAAGGCAACCACCCAATAGCTAGCGTCTCCAATTTTACTTTCAGATAGAGTAAGGAGCTACCAGGAGTTCTGTAAAGACATGACATGGTAGTTGGGGGTCCCTTTCGTTTGACCTCAATCCCTGTCTGAAGCAAACGACTGAGGCGGTGGCAGGAATCCCTGCAACTCCTGGCTGACGCAGAGGAGAGAGACGCTCGGCAGAATCCGAACAACGGCCAGAGTTGTTTGAAGGGTCCGGTCATCTGTCAAGGACCGCGAAATTGCACGGTGTTCCCCCGTTTCCCTCTTTGGAACCTCAAAAAGTGTCAGTTTCAGTGTAAATTGATCAACCTTTGAAGGAGAGATCCAGTGACCCCTGAAATGAGGATGGGTACCAATGCTTGAACATGTTTGCATAGATTGGCCAGGTCAAACTTAACCAACATAAGCCGATACGGGCGTAGATATCTTCCCGGAAGGGTGGCAAACCCAAAGAGTAGCTGGAATGCAGACATGGGCCTTGTAATTCCTTGCATATGTCAACGATGTTCACTGCCCCCAAACCACTATTGTCAGGGCGTTAGTGACATGAAGCCACTATAAACCCGCTATATATGGGGCATAGACCGCGTTTTCCCTGAAAGTAGTGGTTTAGGGGTAGTGGAAGCCATCTTCGAATATTGCTGGGAAGATTCATTTGAGAGTTTTGCTTATGTCTCACCCGAGCGGGGTTTATGCGTTGTCCTTTGTGGGAAGCAACGGATCCTTTGAAACACCAAAGCTCCTTTCTTGGCTCCACAGCCCTGCAGTATCCTGAGCTCCTTCCAAGGCAGACGCCTTTAACCAGACCAAAGACATCCCTAAGGATTGACGCCTTGCGGGGCCTTTTGGTTGTCCTACTCTTGCAAGCCCTCACCCCTGCAGTTTTCAAAGTGGCTTGGGTGGTTTGTCGGTGTGGGCGCGGGGGGGCTTTTGGCGCTTTGTAGGGCCCCGTTTCGTTTTTTTCTGCAACATGGCCATTGGTCATGGATCCGTATGATGGCAGATGCAACACGGTGCTTCCGAGGATGGGAGCAAGACATTGATTCATGTACCCTCCGTCTCACTAACATGGCACCTCGGAGGTCCCTAAGAGCAACTTTGTGTTCCAGGTACCCTCGGCAGGTGCTAGCGGGAGGGAGGGTAGCTTTCCTTCCAAAACACAAGCCAGAGACCAGCACCCACCAAGGCATGAACCGCTGGGTCATGATAGGAAACTGTGATTGATTCAACTTGCTGCCCAATGTAGCTGCTGTTGAACGTACTGCTGAGCTAGGGGCGTTATTCCATGTATCATGTTGGCGATTGTTCGCAAAGAATGTTGCATTCTCAGACCTAGCAGCCCTGTTTGCCCTCTTGCCTTATTTGGGCATACTCGGGCTTCCATGTTTTTCATTCAGCAGTTGAAGAACTTCATTGGCCCCTCTAGGCCGGTCGAGGTAAAGCCCTTTATGCTGACTTTCGGAGTAGGACTTGCAATGACCGACTTTCCTGCCAGCACGTGTGCCTTAGGCACTGACGAGCGTTCGGATTTGCAGCGAGGTCATCAACGTTTGCGGGCCGGGGCGCCAAAGTTAATATACATAGTGCTTTTGATTGGCCTTCAATCACCAACCGAATGAAGGTTCCCGCCTCAGGAAAGACCCCTGCAAATGTATCAACACGCATATACCTAGTATATATGTGCATATAAATATAATAGTACGCAAGTTTAATATGTACACAACAATATATTCTCCCACTGGGCCGGCTAATATGTTTTATTAGTGTGCGGCGCGGTCACAGACATGGTTCGACCAAACACAGGGACTCGATTGCTTGATCTGAGCGGCAACATTTGTCCAGCAGATCAAAAGGTCAGCTTGCTTTGCAGTACATTGCAATTAAGGACAATCTTGGAGACGGACTCAAAGTTGCGTAGTACCGGAGCCGCGTTCAACTGGGGAACCACGAAACAGTTGACTCTTTTGCACTGGGCATGGTCAACCGATCTGTCATGGGTCTTTAAAAACAAGCCACGGGTCCCCTGCAAAGATTCCACGAATAAATACCCCCTCCAGAATCCCGCATGGTCCCCCAAAAAATTCCGCGCGCCCATCATGAAAATGCGCGGGTGGTCCCCAGAAAACAAGCCACAGGTCCCTAAATCCAACGACAGATGGTGAAACCTGGGGTAGACTTAGGATACATTTTACATTTTACCAGTGACTCAAAGTGAAGCAAACAGCAAAATATACATTCTACAACTGGGCCTAACTCGAATCATGAAACCCCAAGGACTTCCCCCGGTCCACACATCCCGTGGCCTGCGAGAAACGGAAACGAGGCAGGCCGCGCAGTGGCCAGAGGCCTGCGCGGCGCTGGGCCTGCCCGGGGCCCTTGCTCGGTGCACGTACGGGCAGGGAGCCATTGGTCTCCCGCGGGTGGGTCTTCCCATACGTGATGATACACATATGATATATACCATGTAATATATAAAAATATATATATATGATGTAGAAATATATATATATATATATATATGTATGATATATATATATATGTATGATATATATATATATATATGAAATAACTGTGTATACATATATATATATATATACACATGGGATTGCGTCATTATCAGATGCACGTGTGTTTTGGGTACGGATGTGAAGATACAGTGTATTCGTTGTTTGCACACGAGACGTGTTTCTCCTTTTTGCAGAGGATGTCGCTAGCACAGCAGAAGCAGGATGCATCGACTCGTTCAGACGTCAGGGTTTTAAACACCTGGAGTCCTGGTTTTCTTGTCCACAATCTTGTTTTGTTTTGGTGTAGGCGAATCAAGTATGAAGAATCTGAACAGTCTGAACAGCTAGTTGGAGCTGCCCTCCGTTGGGCCATCGGAGTGGCTTCACATGTCAAGTTGCAAGTGACACAGGCAACGAAGGAACCAACCAACACGCCTTTACCAAGGAGCTGCTTGTGCTTCCCGTAGCCTTGCTCGGTTGCAGAAAACCATCCTTTGCTTTGTGTGCATGTGCTTCGGGCATGTGCCAGACCTGGGAGGTCGGTTGTGGTGCCTTGTCTCGATTCTGTTTTTGGTGTCTTGTCACACGCAAGCAGACACAAAAGTGTTCTCAAACACAACTGGGCAATTGAGGAGCAGAGGCTTGCATATATCTGGCCATCTCCTTTTACAGACAAGTAATAAACCCTGGTTCATAGGACAAACGATTGATGCCCCAATGAAAGATGCGGAGTGCACATACATCCGACAGCCACGTGCAGCGATTCTTCCGAGTTTACACAACGGCCTGACACACCGTGCATGGACGAATTTCTGCACCAGTTGGGATGGATTGAGCCCTATGTCTATGAACACTGGGATAATCGTGGATCAACCACTTCTCTACTGGTGAAGTTTCGTCCATCCACTCTAGGGGCCTGTTCAAAGCCGACCTTTTGACCTTTTGGTTTGCTGGTTTTGGTCCAAACTTCGTCATGCCCCCCAATGAATATCTTTGTATATTCCAGGTCCAGGGCAAGTGAGCTATAGGGTAAGCCATCTTCCTGTTAATCTATGGGCTGGATCCATTGCTAATAGGGACCCTCACGACAGACAAACCCAAATTGATCCACCTGGCTTAGCTTGAGTCTGGCAAGAGCTGACCAGAGTGCGGCCTCACTCGGGAGGGCGACGGATGACAGTTTGGCGAATATGAAGCTATTGTTCCAACCAGTTTCTCCCCAAGTCCGTCCCAACCCAAGATCTGGGAAGCTTGAACGTGGGGTGTTGTCCTCTTTTTTGTACAGGGTCTTTTAAACCAAAATGCTTCAAGCAACTCCAAACGTTCGTCCACTCAGTTTCTGCCAGTTGCTCAGCGCCCTTTGTCTTCCGTTTTGCCGCGCGAAGGATTTCCCTTTACAACCTTTGCCGCGCGCTTGTTTTTTGTTGTTCTTTTTTGGGGGGACCCCATGCTTTGGCGTTCCAAAAGGAGAACCAATCATAACACCAAAGCGTTTTGGGGGCCTCCCGAGAAAAAAATGCCACGCCCAAAGCAGCGGGCGGCTCCCGTCTCTTCCCACGAAACTCCACACGGGGCTGTGCGACCAGGAAACGACAAGCTCCGAGGCTGCAGCGCCATGGCCTGCAAGCAGACGCCCGGGCGCCCGGATCGAAAAGGACACGTTGCGCCTTCTTGTTGTGGCAAAAGGTTACAGGGGTTGGTTTACCCATCTAGGGGTTGATTCCAATTCCATTCTGTTCAACCATCGTTCTTTTCAAAAAACCATTTCCCGGGTTTTTTGATGGTTTCCTGAAAAGAAGGATCCCTGGAAAGAATGGGAAAGGTAATCCTAGAACCTTTGTTTTGTTTGTCCAGCCCAAATGGGCAAGTTTAAGAGTTGCCACCACCCTAGCTGGTTGGAAGGGAGCCGTTCCGGAGCTGAAAGTATATCCAAATTTGCCTGGAGCTACCAGTTCTGTAGGGACATGGAACGAACTCGCTGATGCCGACAGCAGCAGCAATGACTCCACATAGAGCACGGTCCGCAGCTCCCCATCATTCCAGCGCCCACATCTTAAATCGCTCATCACTCAGGAGTCCCTGGAGCAAGGCTACCGAGTTCTGATGTCCACCAAAAGATCAATTGAAATGGCCCAAATGTTGCCAAGGCCACAAATTGAAACCGATTCTCAAGACACTTTGGTCAGGACAGGATTCCCGACTTACGTCGGCTGTATGCAGAGCGCTGATGCCTTGTGGTTGTTCCCCCACAAGTCCAGAGGTCCCTTCGTTTCAATCGAGAACAAGCTTATAAAGGGATTTTCGTTGCATCCTCATGAAGGTTCTTTTCAGGGAAATTGGACCCCTTTTGATTGATTGCTGACTTTGGCTACTTCACATCTTTCATTTTTCTGCTTGGAAGGTAAAACCTAGCCGCAGGGTCCTGGGATTTGGGCCATTCCCGGTGCCCCATGGCTGGTAGGAAATGTCTTAGGGTTTTGATGTCAGGTCGTGTGCGTGAGTGTGGGTGTGTGAAATATGAGATAACACTGATCAGGTGACCGGCTAAAGAAACGTTGTTACTTGCCTTGTGGAATCTCAACCCATATGCCATGCATAGGGCATGCGCAATGCATACTTTTGATCGAACCTTCTCCCTGTTTCAGGAGTTTCCTCACCATAAACTAAGGTAGCTCCCTGGGCGGAAAACAACATACCTTCCCCAGAATTGCAGAGGCATGGCACTTCCTCAAGACTGTGCCGGGAATTTCCGTTCTCGAACTGTCCTACAATGGAACCGGAAACCTGAAGGCGCGAGTACTTTCTCTCAGACCTTTGGGTTTGTCTGCAGATGCAGGAACCCAAAACCAATAGGCGGCTTCCCTTTGGTTGCCCGAGTGTTGCACATAAAGACATGAGGGACCCGTTGCCCTTGTTTCGAGACACACCTAATATAGGAACCCCTTTGAATAAATTCGCCAAGGGACACCACAAGGCTACCGAGCCTCGAGGCTGTTGCCCACAGCTCCGCCATTGCCGCCTGCGCGCGAGGCGGGGTGTTGACTTGGGGACATGTATGTGTGGGTACCCTTTTGGGGGGCTGGTTTAAAGTTTAAAGAGAAACCAACAGGAAGCTCACCCATTTTTCATGGCCCCCTGTTTATGAGTGTTTCTCAGCATGGGATTCGGACCTGCTTTTAGTTGGTAATTTGAAGGGAACCAAAAGGAACCCTTGCCATTTTTTGGGACCCTTATATGAGAAACACCCATGGGCATGACGATTGTTTTGGGGGCATATCCCTGGTGCCACCTGTATTGTGTAGGGGCGATATCAGGCAAAGCTAGGCTAGTCTTATACCAATTCCTGGGTGGTTTTGCGACTCATCAGCTGCGGCGAATATGGAAGAAATCCTTCGAATTGGAGAATGCTCAGGCGGGGGGTTGCCCAAGATCAACTCTGACAACAGGGTACCACTTTGTCTCCATGGCCACCGGAGGTCTGTGGAGAATGGTCACTAAGGGGAGTAACCCAAATGGTGGGGAGGTCCTAGCGTGCTTTGTGGAGGCTTGAATACTGCTTCGTTGCAAAATGCAAGGCCCCCTATCAAGCGTTGGATTCTTCTGCGAAGCACCCCGTTCTTTCCCCAAAATGGCAAAGGGATAACTCTGAATCTTCTACAACGGTTGCGTCGACCAAACGAGCAGGTTCAATGCTTAATCATCGTTCGACGCTTCAAGGCTGATGCGCAAGTTGCTCTTCAAACATCACCCATCCAACATCGACCCTTTCACACGATCAGGCAGCCCCTCTGCAAGGGTTTGGTTCCAGTCGAATCCCCTCCCCTAGGCTTCGCCTGGCCAGCGGCTTTGCACCTGCCGCAGCCCCGATGATTAAAGTGTTTTCGCCAGGTACTAGTAGCAGTCTGATGTCTTTACGGGTCTGGCATGTTACAAAGGTGTTCTGGCGGTCTGGCGACAGCTGCAGGAAATGGAGGCTTGGGAGTCCCAATTTCTGTGGCATCCACGGGTTCGCAACAGCAACAGAACCAGCATCAGCGGCAACTGGCAGTTGTTGATGACCTGCATCTTTGTGTCGCCCAGCCCCACTGACAGAGCCATTTGCAGGCCTAGCTTTCAGGGCCATCTGGGTTTGGAGACCAAAGTTACGTGGACTGCAGGTTATCAAGTTTGGACGCTCGGGGCTATTAGTTTGCTACAATTGACAGGGTTTCAGGAGGGTAGCCTTGAAACTGTACAGTAGTCAGATTCGAGATTGGGCACATCTTGTTTCAACTCAGGAAGTATCCTGTGCAGGTTTAGACGTATCACGTGTCAGGCAAGTGTTGGACACACTGTGTTTTGCACTCACACCGATTCCTGACAGGCGAACCTTGTTTTGCCAAAGCTCACAGCTTCGGACACATTGCCTCGTGTTTCTTAAACAAAGCTTTGCCGTACGAATGGCCCATTCCGCCATCACAGAAAGGTAGAACTCATGTCCTTCGAGCTTCAGAATCAGTTCAGTTTCCGAGGCTGCAGAGCAACGAGGCACGGGAAGGGAAGGCAAAACGGTCGCACCGATTGGTGCAGAAGGTGATGTTAGTGTTCCCTTGTTGGCAGTAGGTTTTTCTGGGACATGGTTTGTGTTCCCTGGTTGGTGGCCGGATACTCATCGTGGTAGCCGTTTGTTGAGTATTTTTGTTCGAATTGCAGGCACAAGTGCGTCATACGCACTCGGGCGTAGGACATCGGGACCGGTTTACCTGTTTCCCCCTTTCGTCAGGTGCCCCCGTGGGGATTGTTCCTTTTCGCTTCAAAGTGACGAGATCACTGCTTTGTGCGCCAAGCATCAAGAGTTTGCTGTCATGTTCATGAATTTTCGGAATAACCAGACACGGTTGAGTCATAGATGGTTGCTTTTTTGCAGGGATTCGATCCAGGGCAGTTCGTTCGGGGCTGCGATCTTTTCTCCGTGGCTTTTGATAGTAGGTGGTTTTCCTTTTGAGGAGCTTTCAGGAGATGTAATTAGGTCCAAACCATGTTTAAGCGGCAGCCAGCCTACGCTTCCCCAACATGGGGTAAGATCATATCCGATAGTGCCGACAAGCAAACAACCGGCTGTTATTTGAAGAGACGCGATGAAATCAAAAGCCTGATCGGGCGAGGATGATGATCCACCCGTGTCTGGCCTGCCCGAGTATCAAGAGGATACTCCAGTAAGCGAGGCATCTTGCGTCCTCAATCATACGTTGCTGAGGATAAACAGCATATCCCCCTCTGTGGCATCATGGTGCAATGCTGCATGGCCACCCTCATTGATTCATTCACAATGCTTCAGCTTGATGAGATCGGATGGGTGTTTAAGAAAGCAAAAGGACACCAGGTGCATCTCATGTTAGGACACCCTGGGTAGGTTTGTTCTTACATCAAGATCCACAAAGGTGATCACGTAGAATTCACTAACATTCCTTTGGTTCCCTCATGTTTATGCCCATTTCAAGTCAACTCCCAACAGTCTACGATGGTTTCCACTACCCCCAAGCCACTTCTCCCCAGGGCAGAATGGGGCCATACCCTTTACAGGGGCTGGAAAGCAGCTGTAGATTCAACCGGTGGGGTAGTGGAAACCATCTCAGAAACAGTTCCCGCTTTTGCTTTGCGGGTGTCTTTTTTGGAGTTGGTACCCCCTTGTTTGCTCTAAGGATATACCAAATTAAACCGAACACAATGTTGGTGGTCCTCCCATTTTAAGGCACACCCATCATGTCCAGAAGCAACTGTCCCAACAGGCAGAGGCGGGTCACACTGCGGCAATCAGCGCCTGCGAAAAGGGCGCGGTGGCCCGGCAGAGGCCGAGATGTGAACCGAGTCTCAGAACCAAAACCACTGATGAACACATCACTTCCTCCCAAAAACGGACCTCAGAAAGCAAGTCCCTTTTTTGAGGTCCCAAGTCTCTTAGGGCAGCGCAAATTTCACGGCTTGATTTTTCCGCTGGTGGAAAGCGCTGGGGTTTCTGCCCAAACAAGCTCTGGTGTGGTATGTAGCAGCTGGGTTGGGTTCCGGGTTTGGGTTTCAGGGGCTGTTGGGAATACCACCTGACCTTATTCGTTGGCGAAGCGGATCACAAAGTCATTCCCTGGTTGCTCTAGGGGTTGATTTCCCACTGATTTCAACCATTGTTGGCCAAACACGTATGTACCAATTTGGCCGAACAAAACCCTGGGCATCAACGGCCATATGGGTGGGCCTTTGTTTGGGGGACCCCCAAAATGGATTTCGGGGTGTTGGTTTCCCTATCAACCAACCCCAAAAAGGGTAATTACCCACACTGAGATGGTTCCCACCTTCAATTTGAGGCCAGGACCCACCAGTTGAATGGAATATCCGGCCACGTGTCTGGAATCGGGCAATGGAATCTCTCAGGCCGAGAGTGGCGCCTGGCACTCCAGATCTTCGGAGCGATGCCCGCAGCCAGGCCGCTCGGCATAGCGAGACGCGCTGGTGGGAGCTTGGCTAAAAGCAGGCTCACAAATGAAAGACAGGCTGATTGGTTGATCCCTTGCTGGTTTAAGGAACTCTTGCGGTTGCCAAGAGCTGGTGAGTTGGGAATTGTTTTTTGCATTTGTTCTTTGCATTTGTTCTTTGCATTTTGGTCCTGTGCAATGTCAGCATCGATTGAGTTCCAGCATGCAGAACACAAGGAAGGCATCACGACCAAGACCACAGTAAGCACCTGTCCATTGGGAGAGCTCGTCTCTTCGCGTGGATTGGGGGTAGGTCTTCTGTCATCTCTTGGCTCCTGAAGTCGTACCCATGGCAAAGAATAGATGTATGAGACAGGAGGATAACCGGATTTCATGTCAAAGGGTTTTGGGGTTAAAGGGAAATCTACAGGACAACAGCTTATGTACCGTGTTTCGGGACCATTTCCTGTAGATGTTCCTGCAACCAAACCCAGACAGAGATGGATTAACAAATGAGTTGTTTGGGCCTCTGATTTACCACCCTGACAGAAGTGCCGCTACCCTCAATCAAAATCTTTTTCCTTCAGGTTTCCTCAGGGCATAGCTAGACAAAATGCCTGTTAAAAAGTCTCGACGTAGTTTCTGTATATCGCATTAAGGTTCTTGGGTTAGCTTGGGGATAGAAGTTCTCTGGGGCCATCCCCAGAAACAAAAAGGAGGCTCCGTGCTGAATGGGTGTGACACTCACACGAGGCCTTGCTATTCAAACCCTTTGGGCACGAAATCGCAACCTAAAGGTTTGTTAAATGTGAGGCTTTTCTTCTTGGGAAATTATCATGATTCAGCCACAATTTGGGTGACCCGTTGAATGTGTTCAAACAAATAGGTTGTAGGATGCTACACACATGGTTGTTCTTGGGTGCAAGCTGGAACCCTTTTGTTGGAACTTGCTTTCTTGTTTAGGCTCGCCTGAAGAATATAGCGGTTTAGCTCACGTTCCAACCACCTCTTCCCCTTGCCAGGATCGCCACGACCACTGTCAGCTGCAGCGCTGCCATTAGCGCTTGCGAGAAAGGCGCGATGGGGTAGTGGAGGGAGACGAACCGGACAGTCCAAATCATGGCAATAGTATGATATAGTATGATACAGTGTGGAGGTGATGTGTACATCATGCAACTATGCATTTTATAATGTATATTATATATTATTGTATGCAATGCCCGACATGTTGCCAAAAGAGTCTGATAGGGGACTCTCAAAGGCTGGATACCTCTGTAATATTGTCCACGAACACGAACACATGTTGTATGCACCTCACTCGCTGAGTTCATGAACTCTGAGCTTTTTGGGAGGACAACTTTGGCGGCAAGGAAAGAGTTTGACTTGTTTGGCCAATCCACTCAGGAAGTGAGATACACACCATTCGCGTCACTCTGGCTCCATCAAAATGGAGGCGATAGAGACATGTGGCCAATTGCACCCTGATGGGTCAAAATGGCCAGGCTGTAGCAGTTTGATTTTTGCACGCCGGTTGCCTTAAGACATGTTTCAAAGGGTTTGGGCACAGGAGAATCTCTAGAATGCTACTTCAGTGTTGTGGACCTGTTTGTATTGTTTAGGTTTGTTGGTTCTGTTCAAATTCAGCAGGGCTGCAAAAACAGCATTAAGTGGTTCGCTAGGGTAGGAAAGGCGATGTTGCCTTCCGCTGTGTTTCCCTGGGCCTTGAAAAACCCTTGGAGGTCCTCCGGGTAGCTCAACCAGGTTGAAAGCTTTGAGAAGCTTGAACTGCCTTGTGAATCCAGTAGCATCTATGGGTATCTGAATGTGTTGGCAATGTGAACCTTCAGTTTGCACAAATACAATTTTGAAAGTTTTTGTGCCAACTTGCTGGGAAGCGTAATTCCCTTTCATTGACGTTTAATTGGCTTTTCATGTTGCTTTTGCAATTTGTCCAGTTGTGCATTGATGCTTGATTGGCTTTTCATGTGTTGATGTTGCAATTTGTCCAGTGTTGGTGATTTGCTTCATATCACTATTGAATAAATCCCTGGGACCGTACTACACCAGGAATGGCTTCATTTGTGAGTGGGGATTTGAATTATTTTACACATGGATTCGTTTGATTCGCGTGGTCCTTTAGATGAATCCCAAGTAGCCCAGAGGTCCAGGGTGCCTGTTGTTCCTGAAATGAAGTACCCAACACTAGTCACTGGGTGCCCTTCCCCATGGAACCGGAGGTTTGGGAATTGCAAACGCTTCGCGCTGGCCTTTTTGACAGATGTCCGTTCGGACTCCATGCGAGGGTAAATCGGGCCATGCCTCCCGTGAAAGTATCCGCATGGCACTGGAGGACAGCCGCAGCCGTAGTCAAGGCAAGGGACTGAGGCCAGGTGACTGTCCAAGAAGGAACTAGGGCTGGGGCTGGACTCGCTCACTCACAACGGCTCTCTGACAAGACACTGGTCAAGGCCGCGCAGGTGGCACCTGAGTCCGCCACGAACCTTAGAAAGCCCCCAGGCGCACGACGACACCTGTATGGCACGTCGCCACCGGAGAAAGCAAGAGCCACGCAGCCCGACTGCGGACAGTCTACGGCCTACGGGCCTCGCACATTTGGTGAAACTCACTCACCCACGATCTGGCTCAACATGTCAACCAACTCTTGCAACTCCCGCTCGTTTCAAGATCGAGGGGCTGTGCCCCGTTTGACCTTGCCACCTGCCTTTGCCATAGTGCGCAAAAGCGCGTCAAGCACCGGCCCAGCTCAGTGCACACTTCAAAGTGCACTTTGTTCTTCTTCTTGTCGACAGCGCCTGACTTTGGCAACGAACACACGCTCCACAAGGTCAGCCGCTCCCTGCACACTGCTAAAGCAAGCTGTCAGCAGCTCTGCGTCAGCCGGTGCTGCGTGTCCATTTCACTCGCCACCTTGATCATGGCAGCCCAGCTGTGATCCTGGCAGCCCAGCCCGTGTGCAGTCCTTGGCGTCCTTGGTGCTTCGATTAGCCAGAGTTTTTGGTCAACTAGCGGCGTGGCTCCACTGTAGCCGACCGGTCTGAGGAGCCACAGTCCAAGGGGCTGGAGCTGGGGGTGGTCGGCGGGACAAGTTGGGAAGATTATGACCTAAAAAGTTAGGGGCCCAGTGTCAAGCTCCCAGGCTGGTTCCCCATTTCGACAATGGCAGTTGTTTGGCTCAGCCCGCAGGCCAGGCATGGGAAGAGGCGCTGTCTTTGGCTGAGGCGGGGGAGTGAGTGAAGCGGGCTCCAGACGGAAAATCCCTCCAACCTGTCGCAACGCGTTTGAAATAAGGATCCCTTAGCATTTTGAGAAACCCCTTGGATTTAATCTTCAGCCCTCATGGGTCCCTGCCAGATCCCACAGTAACAGTTTTGGCCGTCTTACAATCTGATAATGTGCCTGGCTACGAGCGAAGGGGGAATTCGCTAAGTTGGGGTGGCACTGGCGCTTGTAGCGTGGAGTCGCATCTGCTTAACCGACAGCAGACCTTTCAAGCCACGTCACCAAATCAAACCGCCAATTAGGGGTAAGGTGACTTCTGTTGTGACTGTGGCAGTGCAGCCATCGAGGACCGTGCAATCTGGTGAATAGTGCTTGCCGCCAAGCCTGATTGTTCCTGAAGAATGGGCCGAAAAACCCCAAAGTTGGACTTGTTATGACTAGCCTGTTGCTTGTTGTTGTTGTTGTTTTTTAGGCGGCATGTCCGCATGCTACGTTTCAGATGTGTCTTCGCTTACTCTTGCTTTGTCGAGGCAAAGGATTCAACTTTTCGCAACCAGTCCTGGAAAAAGCAGACGTTGTGCCCATAGGAATGGCGAGGGACCATCACGAGTTTGCGTTTTTGCCAGATGCTGAGACTGTCGAAGCTTGGGCACAAGCAGTACCATCATAGGGAACAGTGTTTTGTGGAAGAGGATATGGAGTCTAATACATCCACTGTCTCATGAACTGGCAGGTTCACACTTCCCCAAATACCCGCTGTGTTTTGGGTATCATGTCAACCCCTGACTAACCAAGAGGCATATACCACGGAAAACCATGTTTTGTGGGTTAACGTGATGCATCAAGGCTTCACCATGATGAGGGCGTGGCTTGTCAGGACGCGGACATGATCGGCCTCAGCGCTGTCGCGGGCTCAGCGCAGTTCCGCCCTTGCGTGAGCTGGATGCCTAAAAAAGCACGCGCAGTGGAAACATGTTTCCCTTTTTGTTTGGTGGGCTTCCACCATATAAAGGGCTCCTTTCTGCTAGGGTCACTAGGCGCAAGCACCTAACCATGATCAGTTGCCAACAGATGTGCGTACGTACGTACATACAGGTATGTTACATACAAATATAATTCCTTACTTGCTTCAAACTTAGTGCTTGTGTCGTTTTTTGTTTCAGGCACTGGCAAGGTGTTTTGTTACACCAAGCACAACGCAACTGGTAGAAGCCAGAGCGGACAGTCAGTCAGTGGTAGGACAATCCAAGGCAAACTGCAATCTGCACACGTTTTTGCTCGACTGGGTCTTCCACGAGTTCACAGACTCCGGTTTGGGAGTCTGGTCATTTGCCCAAATACTTTCCTTATTCTATGTTGGCAAGCGAGGGCCCTCCAACATGTCAGGTTGCCACTGTTGAAGTACTGCAAGGTTTTTTCTGCAATATTTCGGGTACATCCCGACATGTTCACAGGGAACCCAAAAAGGGGGTGCAAAAAGAGACTCCTCCAATAGTGTTTTCAGGTGCCATGTTAATTTGCAGGGGAGTATCAAATCACCGTTGGCACTTGGACTTGAACCCTTGGCTTCTTGAAGGGCCATACGCTGCCCCCAAGAACCGATTTACGTATGTGTGTTTTTCCAAGAGGGTAAGGATAAGCTGACATTTGGGTGTGGCGCAAAAACAGGGGCCCAAAACGTAACCCTGGTAAATGGAAAAGTATACCTCTGCAGTTTTCTGGCTCTGGAATTTTGAGCCACGCCGATTTGAACGCTTCGAGCTGCCTTCGGCGAGCAATTCTAGTGGCCCCCATTTGCACACCGCGACAGTATGCGACAGCGCGATACCCGAGGCAATGAGTGCTTGCACCCGCGCATTGCATTGGCAGAAGGCGCGTGACGAACTGACAACAGGGGGTGGCATTCAAGTTGGCTGTTGTCATTTGTCCATGTCCATGTAACAGGGTGTAGAACCCGCTTGATCTACTAAGCTTGCTTCATCGCACTTTGCGGCGCTTGCGGCGCCTTGCAAAACTGCCTGGCATTCAGGCGCTGCTGCTCTTTTGGTGATCCAGTTGTTTGACGGGGTTTGGTGGTAGTTTGGTGGTTCGATGGAGTCTGACGTCAGGGCAATCCGACAAGCCGCCGGTTGTGCTGCCAAATACCTCGAACACTAGCACGGATGATCAGAGCCCCCTTCCAAAGGGAAGTAGTCTGCCAACAGCTTTTTCACTTCTATGTTTATTGGTGGGGGTAGTTTCAACCTTTGCCTTTTGGTGTTTCGTTCATTTTACCTTTCAACCAGCAACAAGTTTATGTTTTTTTGTTGTTTTTTTTTGTCAGGGGGTGTAAGTCTGGTCAAGTTTAAAGGCCGTGTGTTGATTGTTTCACTTGAGCCAGCGGCAAGTTCCCGCGAGGCTTTGCAGCTCTTCAGCAACATGAAGCAGCGCTCGTGGCGGCAAAGAGCAGACGTGGGCGTAACAGCGTAAGGCCATGAATTGGGTCTCGTGTGTTTTCTCTTGGTTTGTCCAATCCCCAGAACTGTCCAAAGTCAGTGGTTAGGGGGTGCTGGCAGGGTTTGTTGTTGTTTCTTCTTAAGATCTTGGACTGACGCTGTCTGCTTCGGATGTTCGAAGGAACCATAAGGTTAGGTAATGTGCCCAAATAGGGATTTTGAGGCCAACATGGCTTCAGTTTTCCTTTTGGTTTCAATTTTAAAAGCACCAACAAAGGTGTCAACAAAAAAGCACAACTAAATGAACCCCTGCAAGGATCACTCTTTGAGGGGTTCCTTTATGTTTCCGCCAAGGGGAACTCCTGTGACATTCAGCCAGATGCAATGCATGAGATGTGGGCTCACCGAGCACCTCATAGGTACCCCACCTCCACAAAACATGCGTTGAGCGCTGTCCAAGCCTGACCTGTTTGGGGTTGTCCTTTCTTGGGGCGACCCCTCTTTGGTTGTTTTTAAGGAAACCCAGAGGAGAAACCACAATGTTGGGAGTCCAATAAAGAAAGCCCTATTTCGCAAGTCCCAGCCCAAGAAGGTTGCACCCAGTGGGAGTTCCAACCCGGTTCCCCTGAGACTAGTATTTCAGTCAGACTATTCCCTCTAAATGACTTTGACTTTCAACACCAAGAAGTCCTAGGGGCCTGAATCTCAAATGGTGGTTTTCCTTTTGGTTCTTCGATTTCGCGAGATCGAGGCCAGACCTGCCGGCCTGCGGCGCGGCCGCCTTCGCTTGCCAGCAGGGCACCTGTTGGCAAGGCGGGACGAGTGGAGTGGAAGCGTGGGGTAGGTATTTTGTAACCTACTCCCTGACTCCGCAGACTTTAAGACTTTCAGCTTTTCGGGTTTGGACCAGTTTAGTGACAAACAAACAGTTGGAAGATGTTTGACCAGTCCACTCAGGAAGTGAGAAAGTCTATAAGACCAATCAGTTGAGATATTTCTGAGGGGCTTGGTTTTGGCGGCTTTCTCGCTTCTTCGGCGGGCAATTTGGGGCTGGATGCAACTTCACGTCATGGTCCTTGGCGGAAGTCTGCTCTGCCGTGGCCGGGGCCTTGGGCTTCGGCGTGCTTTGTCGCTGCCTCTTCTGGACCTGTTCAAACTGATGGTTGTCCCTGCGGTTTTGCGGAGAACCACCAATCTGGGGGGGAGGCTGGACTTGGGGAAGGCTCTTTGATAAAAGTAGCCTCTCTAATCCTCTGCTCCCTTTCACCTGCACCCCTCGGACCTTGTCTACACTAACCAACATTCTTTGGCACTGAGATTTTCTTGCTACAAAGTTGGCAAACCTGTGTAAGGATTGGAAGCCGGATTCGACCTTCAGGGGCCTCAATGGCATACCAGGTGGTGGTGACCCCTCCTCTTTTTGGATCCTCGGGCGGAGACGATTCCCACTGGCATCGGTTCTTCTCGGCCCTCTTCCAGGGACCCTGGAGTTGCAGCAGCCTCAGCTGAGCCCTCCGAGTAGATTTGGGTTGAGGCATGTGCCTGCCATGCCGGGAGGCGAGATGAGTCTGTGACAAGTCCATGTTGTTTCGATATTAGTTGTGCTGGTGCCAAAGCAAGTTTAAGTCAAGATCGTTCAGTTCATGCCTGTTGCAATCCAGAAAGCGACCGAAAAGACGGCTTTGATGCCGCTTTCCCAGCTGGTCCTGCGGGTTTGGGAGTTCTTCGAGCCAAGTGTTCAACTTTGATCTTTGTATGGACTTTGTAATTTGGCCAAAGGGGTAGTAACACGACGGTGTGTCTGTTTGTTGAGGGCAATTGGCGGTTTAAAGGGGGGCCAAAAGGAACATGACCATGCAGGTTGTGGAAAGTTGGGGTTTTAGGTTGCGAGGTTGTGTGATGGCCAGGGAATCCCCCGTCCGTCCAAGGTATCAAGTAGTCATGGGAATCAACCCCCTCGGTATCACCAACCATGACTTTGGCCTATGGGATATATATATATATGAAGGACACTGGTTGGTTTCGAAGTGGGTGCAGGTGAAGAATGAACGCATGCAATCTGGGCAAACATTATCCACCTAAGAAAGGGCTTGCGTTTGCGACAGAAATTGCTCATGATGAAGCTTACTTGTCGATCAGCCTTCTTCCGGCTCCCCTGAGGAATACTCTCCAGAGTTTTCAATGGAACCCTCCTATTTTCAGAGAAATCTCTGGCTGGGCCCCCTTTTGGGTTGCTCCAAATCAACTTGAGGGGGCCGGACTGGGTCGCGCTGAAGGCTTTGTCCAGACCGGGCGGCCTATTCTGCCCGCGCCCAAGCCCGCTCACGCGCTTCCGGTCCCCCTTTGGTTTCCCTTGATACAACTACCCGGACTTCTGTACCCTAAACCAAAGAAATAGGTGGGTGTAACAAACCTCCAGTTTAGCCACATATAGGGGGTTGATCAAAAGATCCTTTACATTGGGATGACCATTGGGGAGAACCGCTAAAACGATGATACGGCCTACTAAATGGGAGGCTGCCAGCTGAGGAGTATCTCGGGCCTTTCCCAGCGACGGCTCAAGATGCAAGCGGGTTCCTCTTGGCTTTGTGTAGCACTTGGAAGCAATCAGCTTCTTTTTTTTGAGCAGCTTGAAAGGAAGCCACCCACAACCCCTCTCCCAAAAATAACAAACAAACAAACAAACAAACAAACAAACAAACAAACAAACAAACAAACAACAAAACAAAAAACAACCAAAAGAAACAAGAAGGACCACCAAACAAAAAAAGCAAAAACACCATGTTTCCAGCCACAAACCCAAACCCCAACTCCCCCTCCCCCCTTCCCCAGGCTGGCATCACCTCCTGCGCGCAGAGTCTCGAGTCTGGACCTCGAAAGAAACCGCACCTGGGCCCACGTTGTTGGGGGGAACCATGCGGGTGGCTCGTTCTTTTTCTTGGAGTTGTGTTTTTGTTGAGCAGCTTTTCTTGTTTCGGGGTAGAAGCCACATGGAGAATCAAAGATTTTGAAGGGTTCCAATTCCTGCTTTGAGACAAACCCATGTGTTTTAAATCGGTTCTAAGCCCTGACGTTGTTAAACTAATTGCGCCAGCTGACATTTTCATTCTGACGATTTGTAAGGGTTGCAGTCACAACCTAAAGTCAGTTTGCTGAAGCCAACTTCTTGAGGGCTGACTTTGGTCAAATCGTGGCGCCAGCTGAACTTTCAAGTGTTTTACAATGCAGCAGCCCAAATTTAGAATCTAGGTTTACTCATCTAGGAAACCCTTCGAGCTACATGCGCAAGTGTTTTTGGGGAGGTTTGCGAGATTTGTTTGCATGATTTGTGTCCTTTAGCGCAAGTATCGCAAGTGGAGGGTAGTTGGTCAAGCTTC